ACAGTTTGCAAGGTGATGTAAACAGTAAGTTTTTCTATTTCCCCATGTGATATCTTTGTTTTACATCATGTATACCAATGTTTTGTGGAGTCATTTTGGAAACCATATCCAGCTCAACCCTGCAGTTCTTTATTTCTTCAGAGTCCTCAAACCAGTGTTTCTGTGAGGATGAAGCCAGCTTCTGTGCTGGCCTCTCCAACACCTTTCTGTGCCCAGACCAACACTGGTTCATTGGTTCTTTCCTCAAAGACATCCAGAGAAGATGCTATACTGTGTGGTTGTTCCTACTATCACTAAATTTAGTCCATGGAAAATAAGCTGGGCTATATATTTTCCATCACTTCATTTCCCAAAAGACCCACTAGCTTTCCTTTAAATGCCTTTCTAATTAGAGGAGACTTAATCTGACTCCCTCTCCCCCTCAGTGATAAGAGGTCTGAAGGAAACCTGCTTGCTTGCTTACTTGATTTCCCTTGTCTGCTGTTCATCAGCCATTCCTCTTGAATTTTTACCTACAGAAACGATATTTTTCATGTACTGGATCAGTTGAGAACTACTTGCTTTTCAAGGTGAGGAACGTGACAGTGCCTGCTGTGACTGTACTGTAGTTTGCCTTCCCAGCCCTTACCAACTTTACAGCATGAATGGTGGAAAAAAAACCTGTAGAATATACTGGTTCATGTGAAATTTTGAACTTGTACTGCAAAGGCAAAGAGAACTTAGAACCCCTTTATTGCAGGTGTTCTCATGTGGATCCACAGACCTGTGGTTTAAGCAGCAGGCAACTCTCATTTCCCGGCAGGCTTCAGTGGTCAGGCAGAGCAGATACCAGCATGGGCTGCATGAGGGGACCTCCAGAGTGCAAAATTTTGAGCATAGAGAGGTGAGAACATCTGGCTGGAGCTGTAATAAAGCTGTATCGTTTGCTGATTGGGAATGGAGAATGGCTTTAACACATGCTACCTCATGCACATTGCTTTTCTGCCAGATGATGCAAGTGTGTTTCTGCATTAGGAAATGAAGTTAGCTCAAGATTTTCAGAAGTGATTAGAGGTTTTGAGTGCCAGCGCTGGGATCCTGTGGAAAGGCTGGATGTTCCGGGAGCAGTTTGCTTTCAGATTTCTCAAGTCAGGCGCAGGAAATTACTGTTCAGTTCACATCTGCTGTTAACCCTGTTGAGATCAAATTTGGTAATGATGTAAAAATGGAAGAAAGAAAATTGGTAAAGCAAAGCCCTGCACCTATGTTAGAATGCTCTGCTCCCAGAAGTGATACTTCCAATGCTGCTCAATTGAAGGTCTGCCTCTTGGCCTTTTAGGAATCCTGTGTGCCTACCACAGCACTGAAATTATTCAACTAAAATTAAATGGAATGAATCTTTCCACTTCTTTAGTCTATAGTGACTTACTGTCCTATAACTGAGAAGGGGCAGGACCTTTTGATTCTTAACACCTTACCCACACCCTCAGATGATACCAGTTTAGTCTCTTTCCATTGCAGCCCATCTGGAAAATGGAGCCTGCACACTTCCTATCCTCATGTACGGTGCTCAGTACATTTCCTTTCTTTGCACTTTCAAATCTGGAAGATAGTGTTAACACTTAAAATAAACTTGTGATAGTGGGTGTGAAGAGGGAATGGGGAGAACAAGTTTTCCGTCTGTCAAAATGAAGACATCAACCTCTGCTTTTATTTTCTTTGGCATGTGTGCTTTAAATAGAATGACTGGCTTGGGTGACTTCCAAGTGTTTGCTGCATTTGGCAATCCTAAGTTGTAACAGATGAAGTTCTGCTATTCCATATGATGTGATCCTTCCCCTTTTTTCGGTGACTCCTTGAAGCTCCTTGGGAATTCAGCGCTGCATTCACATCTGTTCTGTGGACGGACGTTCAGGGCTAACAAAATACCTACTGGACTTGGAGTCAGCTCTGCCAAAAGCCATATGGTTGTGTTTTAGTTTTGCAAGCACAGTACGGTAAAGAAAGGAGGTTGGGCCAAGAGAGATGTGAGGGGAGGAGGGATGGAGCTTCACATCGTTAAATGAAGGTAACTTTTTATCACTTGGTGTTAGAGTGGGAAGATGAGAAAATCACAGAGAAGAGGAAATAAAAGCTGTGAGCATAAGTTCCTTTATCAGTTGTTTTGAATTACATGGCGCTCCTCTCTGTGTGGTGGTGTTGACCACAGCCTCAAAGCATGCTTGCTTTTGCGTACCTTTTCCAAAATGCTGTAACAGTCTAGATAATCAGATGCTTCCTTTTGGCCTTACAAGATGTGCATCTTTGCTGAGAACCACACTCAAAGGCCTTCTCAATGCCAGCTATTGCACACTATGCCACAGCATGTGCAGTGGTGCCTTGCGAGGGTGGAAGGGACGTGGAGCAGCTGATGATGCTCCTCTGAGCAGTCACCAGCTAACGACCACTTGGGCTGTTTTCTTACTAGCCATCTGTTGGCCCCTGTAAAATGGCAGCTTGTATTTTTAATAGCCATTAGACTTTTCTGTGTCTGAATTAACATGCTTGTTATTTGTTGAATCTTCTTCTGGTTTTCTTGAAGAGTATGGCTCATGGAGAGCTCTTACCTGCTGCAACTTTAGTGGAGGCTTAGACAGAGGCTTTACCAAATGCCCCATCCTCTGCAGATCCGGCACCAACAAGGTGGGAAACACATCGCCTGATGTATCATAAGGGTGTTAGAGGGGAATAAGAAGACTTGAAGTCTTGTGTTTCTCTTGAAATATCTTTTATTGAGGGTTTGAAAATTGCTGTTTGGTGAAACCTAAATTTCAAGATCAGAATCTTAAGCAGAAAGGGGAACCTGAAAGGTTTAAGTTTTCAGGAGCCTTTATGTTTTTAGTGTAACAGTTGGAAGTGCTTTCCAGTAAACTACAGCATGTAAGCATGTAGACTAGAACAAGCGTTCTTGTTTTAGGGGTGCCTGATTTTTCTCGGTTTTTTTGTCTCTGGAATTCTTTTTAGATGTTGTCACCAGTTCTGATTTATTTCTGTAGAGCAATGTTAACAAGTCAACCGAGGCAGTCACCCCACAGTACAGGAAATTATCCAAGATGTGTCAAGAGGCAGGCTCGACCCGAAGGCTTTTCAGTATCAGGCAGATAGGGCAGACATGTGGTGAGAGAGAAAATGGGTCACCAAAGTGGGCTGATGGACATGGGAGCAGCCTGGAAACCTAGCCTCCTTCACCTCCTCCTCCTCCTCCTTTTCTTCATTGACCATTTTCTCACAGGCAAATGCTGAACGACTGAACAAAGTTAATAGTTTGCAAGCTGTAAAGGACCTGCACTATCTCCCACTGAAACTCAGCTGCCATCAGGAGTGACTGCCATTATGCTGCATAAAGAGTTTGAAACCATGAAGATGGATTTGCAGAAGTGCCTCAGTTTCCTAGGAAATGTCCCCTTGAGTTTTTGGTATTCTTAGTTACTGTATAGATTCTCAGTGTATTTATACCTGTGTGTTGCTGCACTGCTTTCAAAATCCTATTCTGAAGAAAAAAAAAAATCTAAAATTCAAAGCAGTGTATACAAGCAATGAAATTGCATTTTGGTGAAGGTGAAAGGGGTGTGCAGGCTTTCCTTTGTGGAAAGGGGTGTGTAGTGTTTACGCACAGATACTTTTTCTTGTTAGCTAAAAGAGTGAGTGCAGTTTATGAGAGGGTGGCTGCAAACCTCCTAAGAAGGCATTTGTTCAGTTCTGACTTAAAAGTAACACAGCCACTTGTTCGTCATTGTAAAAGACTGGTAAACAACAGTAGCATAAGCTGTAATTGGAGCTTCTAAGCAACTTGTCTGTGCTCTGTTCTGTTCCTATCCAGAAATAATAGCAGGATGAACTCTTTTGCCTTTGCTAGCGTTATACAGGCTTGACAGAAGTGTGTCCATTCCTTTTTCCCTGCATCTAAGCAAAAAATGGTGTCCTGAGTCTCTGCTTGGGAACAACCTTTTTATGTTGAAAAAAAGTAATTTGTTGCATATATGCAGCTATTTTCCTTTTCAAAGCCTTACTTAGTATTGATACTTTGAGAGTAGTTTAGATTAATCGTAGACAATAAACATTGCTTCTGAATTAAGAGCACTCACATCTGAATCTTGTTATCAAGAGAGCAGTTCTTGTTCCCCTTCTGTGGCTTCTGCTGAAATGTTTGAGTAAATTTAGTGTATGTTTAAGCAAGGGATGAACTGGCATTTTGTTCAGTGCTGCAATGGTACAAACAAGTTGTCAGCCCATCTCTCACACAAAGCTGTGGGGTTCTTGTGTGCTGTGTCTGTAAAACTTTTCTGGGGTTGCCCATTTGTGGTGAACAGGAGGAGGGTCTCCAGGAAGGCCAGCAGCAGTCATCCTAACATGGAACTGGACCTCTGCTCTCTGTAAGCGAAAGATGTGTAGCCTGTTGGACTTGCTTCTCTTCCCCTCCCTTGTGTTCCTGATGGCTTGACTCTAACACAGGCAGTTTCCAAACACTTCTAAACACTCCTGGCAACTTCCTTTCCAACTTCCAACCTCCTCCTGTTCGCAACTGCACTGTCTTTATTCCTGTGTCCAAATGTAGCTGGTCTCTGTGGCAACAGCAGTAATAACCTGCGTGGTGATACCCACGAGGAGGTACAGCAGCAGGGAAATGGTTTGTCCGTTTGTGGCTAGTGATCTTAAAATGCTCTTAAGGGACTGGTGATAGAGAAAAGCCCTCTGCACTGTGGTCCCTATATGGGATGTCATGTAACTGTAAGTATACGCTTAAACTGCTTGGAGTCAAAGGGATTTTAAACACATGCTTAAGTTCATGTAGCTGACACATGGTCTACAGA